TCAAAGCGACTGTGGCTGTGGATAAGTCTGTGCTGCAGCAGGTACACCCCTGAAGAGAGTGTGGCCCATGGACAAGGCTCCACTTGGAGCAGGTACTCCCCTAAGGGACTGCAGGCTGGGGATAAGTCCAAGCCAGAGCAGGGGCACGGGGAAGAGTTCAACGCAATGTTAAACCCGGTGGTCTGGTCCAAAGGGAACAGAGGTGGAGATTGTAATGGAAAGAGCTTCAAATTGTCGTAACCCATGATCTCAGTTGCGTGTTATAGGAATTATAGGAACCACCTGAACCAGTGGAGGACAAGACTTAGAAGCAGCAGTGCAAGTGCTGCAGTGACCCGCTCTGAGCTGGCTTTGGTGCCCAATAACTCCAGGCAACACACCAGCTCTCCCATCCTGAGTGACCACCATCACAGATGGAGCCCAAAGTCGTAGACTAAATGAACTCAGTGGACATTTTGTGGACGTTTATGGACATTTTGCAGACATTTCACAGGGGTGGTCCATAGACTAAGGGTACACCTGTGTATATAATACCTGTGTATTATATCAAAGGATGGGAAGGGTGGTGGTGGGTAATGAGGATGTATTGGGTAGGGTGGGACCTGGAAGGGAGGGCCACTGCGTGGCAGCCAAATCCTGAGTTTGCACCTCTGCTTATAGCTTAACTTGCAAAATCATATAGCAAGAAACTACTGAGCTTTGAGGCTTTTGATGGGAAAATGCTTTCTCTGCTGGTTTCCCCAAAGGTGATTTATTCTGTAAAAACTATATTGTGTAACACTTTCTGCCTTAAAAGCGACTCATGCAAAATTAAATACATTGCACTATGTTTGTGGGAAAATACATTTTACTACAAGTTAATTTGAAGAAAAAAGTATTATACAATGAATGCTATAACAGAAACGGTTATGAGCTGCCTTAACAGCATTTATAAATCAAATCACTGCACATTGATAACTTTAAAACTAACCTACGTCAGGCTTTTGGAATAATGTAGAAGTAAAACAGTTTTTGAATAGCTATGTATTTTTCATAAGTTGTGGCTGACGATGAAAAATGTGGATTATTTGTTAAAAAATACAAAAAGGAGTTATTTTCTTTCATTTTTAAGACTTGATGAATTTCGCGTGTTCTGTTGTTTTCTATAGCTTTTTGGAAGTAATATGAGAACCAAGATCCTTAGACATTTTGGGACTCTTTTTCATTGAAAATATTTCTAACGAGAAATCACTAATTACGTACCCTCTCCTCTTTACAGACAGACAGCAATTTCATCCATAGAAATTAATAAATTGTGAGGAAAAAGGGGACTTGTGATCGTCTAGGTTCACCTGCTGCTTTACACTGGCCAAAGAAGAGACTTATTCCTTGCTGAATACTTCTTTCCATCCTTGAGCAAGAAACCTGTACGACCCATGTTTCAACTACAGAACATCTTTTAAAAAAAACCGCAGGATCGATTTGCACGTTGAAGAGACTGAAGATTCACACACAAGATGCCCAACTGTTCGTTATCTCCCCTTGATTGACTGCCAAAATATAGGCCAAATTTCTTGGCTAAATTTGCCTAATTGTGACTTTCAGCTACCAGCTCTTGTACGACCTTTGCCTACTTGGGTAAACACCTTTCTCTTCTGAGAAATCCATAGCGGAGCATTTGTGTACCGCTCCACTGAGCATTTCTCTGCTGCTTTTAAGGACAGATGGATGGGGTTGGAGCCTAGGTTTAAATTAGTTTTCTCTACTAACTCCTTTTTGAAGCCTTTTTCCAACTGACAAAGGTAGCCCCTTTTTGTCTAGAAATCACTAGTGCCTCCTGTCCTGCCAGAAATGGTTTGGGGACACTTTGTAGAATAACTGGAAAAAAAAAATTGAGATAGCTTTGTGTTTCCTCCCTTCTCTCCTCGTCTCCAAAATCTGAAACCTCTTCTCCAGGACATCTTATCTCAGAATTAATTTCTGTACCTAGAGCAAACCTGGGGAAAAAGATCTCACGCCGCTGTTATTTCTCTTTTAAATTCTTTAAGTAAATCACTGGAAAAGCACATGTGCAGCAAACTACTTGCATAATGTCATATCCATAGCAGAGAAAGTCCCCAGAGCAGGGTGACAATATCAAATAAAAGAAACAATACTCCTATAAAGAATTTTCTGTTCAAAGTATGCATGTGCAAAATGAACTGCCGGTGTTGCTGACTCTTGTGAATTTACTTCAAATTTTGCAAGATGAGGTATTTTTCTTCAAGACCCAGCTCCGGGCGGGGGGGATGACTGTGGGACAAAATGTCTGGGGTTTTCATTTTCTACTTTCTTTCAGTACTTTTTTCCTGCCCTTCCTGACTGTGGAAAAGCCTGCAGTAGGATGTGAATGTATCTTACAGACTTAAAACCCAGGCAAGTATGTATTTATTCTGATCCTTTAAGCCAATCTTAAAGACGATCGAGACCTTACTAGTAACCACTCAGTTCACTTAATATAAGTGACTGATCCTTCCCCAAAGTATAAGATGGGTACGAAAGCCAAAGGAAATAATGTTATTTCATTTTACAGATGGAGAATTAATTCACAGTTGCTTATGCTGGATCCAAAGCTTATTGATGTCAATTGATTGCAGGAAATCACAGAGCCGAACGCACCTCTTCTAAATCCCTGACACAGCATTGAGCACAAGACATCTTTTCTTTCTAAATACCAAAACTACTTGGACGTATCATCGTTTTGCAGACTTTACAGAGCTCCCACTAATCTGCATAGGAGTCACATGCATATGCAAAGGCCTCATAGAAACTCACCCTCTGGAAGCACTCACTGGTATTTAATCACATAGCATTAATCATCTAATCGCTCTGCCTGAGTTTCTATTAGGTGGAGAAAGAAAGGGGTCTTGTCTCTGCTATTATAATATAGTTTGTCCCTTTAGATTTATTAGTTTGAGAATATTACAAATCTATTTGCTAAATCATAATAGTCTGAGCTACTAACGATATGCAATAAGTGTGTAAATACACACAGTTTAAAATCTATGGTTCCTATTCTCTCCTATTATAAATCCTGACAAGTAATAATTACATGCAACCCTGAGAAATGAAGCTAATCGTAATTATCTTACAAACAGAAAACAGGCATTAGAGGTGTCATGTTGGGTCTGTATCAATGTTATATTTAATTAAGCAGAAGATTATGCGTAATCCAGTAAAATGGTCTCTTGTTTGCTCTAATAACCAACTGAAATGAAGTTCACCAATACTGACAAGTGTTCACAGAAGGAAGGAACTCAACTTCTGTACTTTCAGGCTTGCCTTAGGAAGGGATTATCACAGCAAATTAAGGGATTTAGACAGGTGAATGTGCATTCAAAATCCAAATTCTTTAGGCAGTCTTGGAAATCTCAGCCTTGTACCGCACTTGCACCAACCCCTTGGTACTGTGCCAAAAAAAAAAGATAAAAAAAATTTAAAAAGGTCTATGCTGCTGGCCATAGCCATGTAAATGGAACATAGACTCCTGAGCAGACACTTTGAATTTACAGTTGTACTGCCCCTCTGTGTGGATTTTACCTCTATATAGAGAGCACTTTGCAATCACCACTCGTAACGCTCTTTCCACCGCTACAGGGGCAGAGTCTATGGTTTGGAGAAGGTGTAGAAAAGGTTCAGGCTCACCAAAATTCAGAATAGAGATGGAAACGCAGGTCTGCTATTGTCCCGGCAGACTACAGTTCTTCCATGCATCATGGAAGGATTCCTGAAATGTGGCTCTTTGCCTCATTCTGTTTGTGTTAATATATTTCTTTTAATGACACTGTAAGAAAGCTTAAGATAAGAAACAGACTTGGTCTTTTTTGGATCAAAACCTTATTCGGTATAGTATTTAGATAACCTTTTTAGTAACTGCATAAATATCACTCAATAAATCAAATAATGCAAACACTATCATTGGAACTGGTATTAATAGTCATCATATTTATTTGACCATTTTGTATGTGTTTCTCCTTTGGCTAGATTAAGAAAAATCTCAAAAAAATATTTTGCCCCATTAAGAATGAACAAATGAGACATTTCCCTTTAACTAGGCATACAAATTGCAAAAACACCCTTCAAACGATCAAGAACACTAGAAATCTGGTAGTATTCCACCCTGCATATTTCAAAGGCATTAAATTAAACATTTGAAGCAAACTTATCCACCGGTTCCAGCTGTTGCCAGTGAGGATAAGGGAATTTTTTATTTTTGTTTTTTTTTTTCTTCTAGCAAAACAGTAGGTCTCAAAACTCTGCTATGTTACTGAAAAATCCTACAGTCTAAATAGATTAGGATTCCCATTTTCACGGCACGCAAGAGACCAGCTCTTCTGCTGAGGGACAATGAATCACAAAAACTATGATGAAAATATTTATGAAGCATTTTTTTCAGCTGTTGTTTACTGTGTTGTAAACTTCCTTCCTACCCAGTCCTCTCATCCTACTTATACAATTTGACTGTAGTTTATATTTTTGGACTCACATTATTATTTTTTTTTTAAAAAAAGTACCTCTTTTAGCTAAGACCCTCTGTTTCAAAAATAAAAAATTTTAACAATTGCCAGGTTCCTGCCCAATCTGATCAGTAGCTGAGTACATTTAGATACTAACAAGAACCCACAGCATCGCAGAGATGCGAAGCTTCACAAATGTATTAAAACTGAATATCCATTCTGAAGTAGATGTTTAAGTATCACGCTCTGAAATAAATACTGTCATCTAAGTGTCAAGAAGGACATATCTGAAGTCCACAGAGCGGCCAGGAGGTCTAAAAGGAACCAGTGCTGGATTATTTGTAAAAAAACCTGGAGAAAAACAGTCAAGGATTGTGACTAACGAGAAGTTCTGAGTATCTCTCAGAGAAAAGACTGAAAGTATTTCTATTACAGAACAAGATGACAACAGAGCGAAAACAGAGCCCCAGGACTGGCACCGTGTGAACCAGGCACATCCCCAGCGTGCTGGAACAATACGCTCACCTTGTCCACGATGCAGATCTGCTTCTTGCTTTGCACGTCAAGAATTTCCACTTCAAAGTAAGTGACTTTTGAATGTTTGAGCACCGGTGGCGATCTGAGATGGCCAGCGGAGAGGACAAGCTGCGAGAAGTTGAAAAAAGAGCGTGTGCCATTGTGGGACATGGACAGAGCTCCTCCATGAGCGGCAAGGTCTCTCTTGCGTTCTGGTGTGCTGGGTTTCTGCCTCCTGTGCATGGTGTGACCCAGCAGTAGCGACCGTCATCTCAACAGGGGACAGCTCCAGGGGGAAAATGTTTCCTCCCTGCATCACTTAAATACAACCACAGACTGATGAGACACGAAAGGTCAAGTGGCGTTCCATTTTAAGAGTACTGTCTTATTTAGCAGGAGTGAAAACAATGGCTCTGTAATCCATGGTTATATTTAACCTGCTATCGTGATGTGCTGTATCTTTTTTTTTTTTTTTTTTTTTTTTACCTTCTTTTTATTTAAACCAGCATTTGAAACAACACATCTAGAGGTTCCCTATTAGAAGTCGTCAGATCCTGAAATTCCAGAGCCTCAAAGGAATCAGGAATGAATGCAGCAAAATTCCACAGTTATCTGCTGAGACAGATGTTTAAAAGTGTCCACATATACGCATATGTATAGGTATGTGTGTGTGTATATATATGCTATATACGTGTGTGTGTATGCACCCTTAGCATGTATCTACAAAATTTTGTCAGATGTCGTCTATTCTAGAAATATTAACTAACAAAATGCCAGGAGTTTATCAGCAAAATTCAGGGTTTTTTTACAAATATAGAGACGATCTCATACCTGCTTGTATTTGGTACTATGGACTCTCTCTGTTATTTAATGGGGTAGAGCTTTCCTTGCAGCTCTGCCAGGGAAACTCAAAGGAACGAAAGGAAATTATAACCGTAAAGGCACTAATTCAGACCTTAGATCATTTTACTGTTTTCTTATTCTTTCCTGACAATTAATTTTCACAATGTAAGTCTGCAGCAAAACAAAAGTAGCCTTAGTGGTAAAAATAAGGACGACTTCAAAAAACAAATTTTCTCTAAAAGAGCTTCCCCAAGCTGTGTTTAAACTTCATTTTTCCTTGTATGACTTTTTTCTAGGATTTAATACAACCAGCAGCACTTTTGCATCCTGAGATTCTCCCTGAATTTCCCTGGGCTGCCTGGGATTACAGGGTTAGAGGACCACCAGGGATTTCTGCAGACAGCTCTTTCCAGTGGAGGCACAGAGTAAGTTCTGAATACATTTCTACATGGTAAAACCTCAGGGAAAATACAGTCACTATTACAAAAATTGTGTAGGTTTGTTACACCAAGGAAATTTAATTAAGTGAAAAAAAACCTTCCACAAGATAAAAGTGACCACTCTGCGAGGCAGGGCGGGAACAGAAGTCTCTTTTTTTGATTCTGCTATACCTCGCAGAAGATTTAATGGTCACCACGTCTTGTCTAGTGACACATGACAAGAAGCTCTATGAAATAACGGAGAAACGAATTGATAAGTTGTTGCAAGAATTAAAAATGAGAGTGAGAGGGACCCCCAAAGGAAGGCAATTTCCAAACAAAAGCTCCTCTCCTGCTAATATTCACAGATATTCTCATCTTCATGTGTATGAGTTATCTAGTTGCTGTTGATGGAATAATCCGTGCTACATCAAGTTGTATATGTGCTTAAGTTCTGGAGAATCAAGACTGCGTACATGAAACGTGTCCCACTTGCAGACATATGGAAAAGACATAGGAGAAGGAAAATGAATTAGTAGGGGCTGAACTCATAAAGAGGTCTGAGCTCAGTGGTAACAGGACTGGGCATTTGAAACAACAAAATACTTGCAATACCAAGAGCTAGTCTAATTTATTTATGATTCTTTAGCCAGTTGTTCTGACTAAAAAGGCTAAGCCCAACTCGTAACTGGGATGCTTTATGCTGTGGCAAAATTCTGTGTAGCTAAGGTCCGAGAGAAAAGTCCCTGTTGCTCGTTGATGCAGTCGTGCAGCCTTTGAATACCTTCACCGACTTTGTTAGTGGAAAACCCTCACTGTGGGAATACAGATGTATAACAATATTACTCACCTAATATAAATAAGGATTAAATTTTGGCTATACCGAAATCAGCTAGTGTCTTGCCATTGATGCAAAACAAGTCAGCATCTAAAGAAAAAATTGTTAGACTTGAACAAGGTAATATTGTGATTGAAGAAGGACACTTGTCTCCAAGTTGAGATGAAAGGTGTGCAAGGAACCACCACCTTGGTGGAGTCAATATAGCAAACAGAAATTTTGGTACAAGCTAGTCAGAACACGGAGAGTGACAGATTATTGGCTGACTGTAAGGGACTTGCTAGAACCAGGCAGGTAAAGACCGCAGAACACGCAGGGCCTAAATCCCAAGTGTGAGATAGACTTCTTGGAACAGACGACTGCAAGGAAACTGTGTCAACTGCTGTACAAGAGATGAGACGAACGGATAGAGTATCTCCTTTTAGCCATAAAATCTATGAATCGGTGAGCTGTAATAGCATACATTAATATATTACTAAATTTATTTCAATTCAAAAGTAATAAAGAATAATATTGATCATCATAGCTAATTTCTGTGTATATAAGGAACTGGTGTTGCAGTCATTGCTGTGGGTATATTTATAACATTATTTAAAATAATAACATCTGAGCTGCTGCTTCTGAAAAAAAGCTTTTGATTTACTGCAGCCATTTAAATGATCAGAATTTTATTACTGACCAATGAACACTTGAATACCTGAACCAATTCCAGGAAAAATACTTACAAAAATGTTTTATTATTTTTGTCAATCTAAGCAATTATTATTTTTCCAATCTAAGCTAATCATATGCAATTTCAATATTTTGATAAACAACAATCTTTGCAGAGCCAAATACTTTGCAGACACAAACTAGCAGGGCTTCTCTGAAGGTGACTGGCCCTTTTCTCTCTGCATTGAATTACGGGATTAGACGGTAGCACCACGTCTACAGCAAACGTATTACTTGCATATAAGGCGGGTGAGAGCTACTCTACCAAAAATAATCAGGGATAGAGTTACACCACTGATAACCTCGGCTCTAAAAGGGAGATGCATAAAAGCAATGGAGATTTTGCCATTCATGTGACAAGTGCTGCACTTGCTTGAAATGTCATCAATGGGTTTGGATGTTCTGGCTCGATCTGAAGTAATTCAGGCCATTCTTTGTAGAAGTGCACATAGAAGGGAAACATTACTCTTTAAAAGGCACATCTTCCCTTTCCGTGCAGTTATATGTACCTCATCTCAGTCCCCGACACTGGAGATGGGGACTCCCAGCACACAGGGACAAGCGATGGGTCCTACCGTGAGATTTCTTGATCCACGTTACATGGGTACGAGCTGCTGTTCCCAGAGCTGTGGCAGGGCTAGGAGCCAGCAGTCAGCGAGTCCCTGACCTCAGCTTCATTCTGGGACTCTGAGAGGAGTCAAAGAGCACTCAGCAAGAATTAAATCATCTCTGACAGCTTCAGCTCGCACTGAATTTCCTGCCATATAAGGGGCCGGTATTTTTGAGGGACCATGAGGATGGGCATAACTCTTCTCAATCTGTCGCTCTACCTCCTCTCCTCACTTGGCACTTGGCTGACGTGGAGCCGTTTTGCAGACGGGCAGGCATTTTGTTAAGTCATCCTTCTGAAAGGCACTTTTTCCAGGAGGGAGGGAATGCCTGCCCCCGACGCACGCAGCAGGGCCGTCATTTCTGGTTAACCAAACTGCTGATATTTTCACAACAAAAGCAACGCCTGTCGTGGATTTTTTGCAGCCTTCTAATAGAGTATCTTGAAACAAGCGTCAAGCTGTGCAGGGCATGACAAAACAGGTAACAAAGCGCTGGGCAGGGACTAAGACTTAGCATTCAGCTTCTACTTAGGACACTGGTTTCCTGAGAGGTGTTAGGGAATTGGGGTTTTTTCCAGCTTTTCCCTTCCCATTCCACATGCCTTCTCTGCGTCGGGCTGTCTTGCACTGTGCATTTTGCAAGACAGCCTGGCACAAAGGGATTTTACAAGATCTCAGCTGGGGCCTTAAGGCGCTTCTGAAGTCCCTTTTCATCTTTGGCCATGTTTTGTACTCCTCCTTCCCCAGAGAAGTGCTCATCTCCTTTCTGCCTGCACAACGTCGACTGTTAAGTCAGCAGCAGAGGGTCACCTCTCTCAGTCCAGATGCTTGTCAGCAGCCCCTCACACATCACTTTTTTATCCCACCCACTTTGAATGCTTGGTGGAAGCAGGGTTAGTCCTTTCCCACCGGCTTTGTGATACCAAAGAACTGAACAATGCCCCCGAGACACAAGAGTCCAGAGCCCAAAGTGTGGGGGGTTCTGTACTGCGGGTCCTGCAGCCGAAAGCAAAGCCGATTCCCAAGGTCTTCAGGGTCTCATTTTTGGAGATTCTGCCATTCATTTTGCTGGGGAAGGAGACGCTGGGACCAAGTGCTCAACTGTGTTGCAAACAAGCAGTGAGATGCCCTTGCTAAAGGAGGTCCGACCCAAAATGTTCCTTGCCCATGGCCTGGTACTGCACTTGATGTAACCCGCGCTGCTCCACATCTCCCTGGTTCAGTCCTGGATTTAATGTTTTCAGAGCCAGGCAGGAGCGTAGCTGTGCTTTCAGTCTCTTTTTACTGAGCTGTTCCAAGGAAGGATTTAAGAACCTGATATAACGTACTCGTTTGGAAAAACACCAACAATCATTTGTTTGTCTGGCTCCTGGCTTCATCTGGCTGAGAGTTTAGGAATAGGTGTAGCAGATTATTTTAGGGGTTAATACTTTCAAATATTTGGTTTGATTCTGTTACCCGTATCGTATTAGTAACAACTAGAATGCATTTCTGAAGCATAGTAGAAATTGAAGCATGTGAGCCCGGCTGTTAGAAATGAAGAACGTAGATGTAAGATTGCAGCGTATAATATGTGAAATTTGATACTGGTATTCCCAAATACTGTTTATAAAGGCTGCATGCTAAAAAAAAAAAAAAAGAAAAAAAAAGAAAACCAACCAACCAACAAAATCCCTGCATGAACCTCTGGGATTTCGTTGCCCACACATGCCAACCTTAGCAGCCTCAAAATCAATTTAAAGCATCCCATCTACATGTGCATACACAAAAAGCAGCCACTCAGAAGAAGCTCTGCAGTGTTACTACTAAAACTGCTTGAGTCCTTTAATTTTCTCTCTTGAAACTAAATCTCTTAACAAATA